ACTTTAGGTTTTAGTTTAGTTTTAGCTTTAGACACGGGCCTTTGCAATACTGGTGGGGAGGGGAGGTGAAGGGAGAGGGCGAAAGACCCTTCGATTCAAGTTGTTGGTTCGGTCCAGCCTGTCGGTGAATTCTTGCTGCTTTTTCAACGCCTTTGGGAGAATACCATTCAGTTATTTGCTTCGTTCGCCTGTTATTTTTTGCCTATTTGCGACAATTTTTCGTTTTTGGCGAACACGAGATCACATCGCAGCATGCATCTTTCTGTCCGAGGCTGTTCATGTTTAGCAGATATACCACATCATGCAGCGGAAAAGTTTTCAGGAGGAAGACGGATTCGGTGGAGAGTCTAAACTTATTATCACTTTTCACGGACCGCCTGCTGCTGAATGCAAGACACCTTACATTAGCCACATACAATGTGCTGTTTGAGATTCTGACTGAGCAGATGACACCAACAATCAGCTACCTGGTCCATGCTCCGGCCAGTGATGCTGTGAGATTCGAGAATCCGACTATGTTGAAAGTAATCGCCAATTTGATCACACAGAGCGAGAAATGCTCGGAGTTAATGAAGGCTAGTTGCTTGTGATCGAAATTTTTCTAAAGAATTACGAACGGCAGTTAATATTGGCAAAATTCTGCTATTACCGACGTGTGATTTCAGGTAAAAAGAACCTTTTTGGAAGATTTATTGCGTATGTGCGAAAATTCACGTGAAAATCGTCGCGTAATTCTACAAATGAGTGTCTGGCAGGAATGGTTAATTTCGTTGGCACACATTTTTCCGAAAGATGACGATGAAACAGCAATCAGTGAACTCGTCTACCGGGTCTTCTCGCATCTCCTTTTCCATGCCATCTATCTGGAATACGGCGGCTGGAGGGTCTGGGTTGATACGTTGGCCATAGTACATTCTAAGGTGAGTGTTTTTTTTTCCTTAGACATCGGTGAAACATAAAAATCTCGATAAAACATACGGTTTGAAATTTCTTCAAGCCACGTCACTGTATGCTGCAACGAGATTTGTTTTTTTTTTTTTTTTTTTTAAAAAAAACCCC